CTTGAGGCCAGGAGTTCAAGACCAGCCTGGGCAACGTAGCAAGACTCCATCGCTACAAAAAAATTTTTTTTAATTAGCTGAGTATTATGGCACATGCCTGTAGTCTCAACTACTTGGGAGGCTGAGGTGGGAGGATCATTTGACCCCAAGAGTTTTAGGTTACAATAAGCTATGATTATGCATGGGTGACAGAGCAAAACCCTGTGTCAAAAAAAGAAAAAAAGAAAACTATGTGGCCGGGCACAGTGGCTCACGCCTGTAATCCCAGCACTTTGGGAGGCTGAGGCGGGTGGATCATGAGGTCAGGAGATCAAGACCAGCCTGGCTAACACAGTGAAACCCTGTCTCTACTAAAAATGCAAAAAGAAATTAGCCGGGTGTGGTGGCGGGCGCCTGTAGTCCCAGCTACCCGAGAGGCTGAGGCAGGAGAATGGTGTGAACCCAGGAGGCGGAGCTTGCAGTGAGCCGAGATCACGCCACTGCACTCCAGCCTGGGCTACAGAGCAAGACTCCGTCTCAAAAAAAGAAAAAAAAAAATTGTTTCACGTATAAAAATGTTAAAAATATTGTATAAAATTACCCTTAGGCTATGTGTATGAGGGGTAAATGAAACATAAGTGAATTTCATGTTTGGACTTGGGTCCTATCCTCAAGATGTCTCCTTTGTATATGCAAATATCCCATAATCCAAAAAAAATCTTAAATCCAAAACACTTCTGGTCCCAAGCATTTCAGGTAACGGATGCTTAACCTGTATAGACTTTTTGGAGAACATATGACAATATGTACCAACATTTATAAAAATTTGTGTTAAGGAACTAAATGCAGAAGTATGTAGGGATATGCAGGGATGTTGAGTACACACTGTTTATTAGTTTGAGAAACTGGGAATAATCATAATGTTTATAAACAGGTCACTGGCTAAATAAATAACAAAGCTATATGTGTTGACACATAATGATGTTTACAATATAGTAAACGAAAAAGAAGAGGCTGGGCACAGTGGCTCATGCCTGTAACCCAGCACTTTGGGAGGCTGAGGTGGGTGAATCACTTGAGCCCAGGAGTCAGAGACCAGCCTGGGCAACATGGCAAGACCCCATTTCTACAAAAAAAACCCCCAAAAATTAGCTGGGCATGGTGGCAGGTGCCTGTAGTCCCAGCTACTCGGAAGGCTGAGGTGGGAGGTGGAGGCTGCCGTGAGGTGATGATTGCACCACAGCATAGATATTCTCTATGGGAATACTTTAGACAGGCAACAGAGTGAGACCCTGTCTCAAAAACAAAAAAAAAAAAGAAAAAGAAACAGAAAAAAAGCAAGTTAAAGAAAATATTAACAATTCTATATCTTGTAAAAAGTATGTGAAAATGAAATCCTAGAAAGATGTATATCTCAACATAAACAGTGAGTTATCTAGGGTCATGGAATCGAGGGTAAACATCTTTGTTTTCTTTTTTCTTTTCTTTTTTTTTTTTTTTTTTGACAAAGGCAGGGTTTCACTTTGTCACCTAGGCTGGAGTGCAGTGGCATGATCACAACTCACTGCAACCTCCATCTCCCAGGTATCATATGATTCTCCTGCCTCAGCCTCCCAAGTAGCTAAAACTGTAAGTATGCACTACCATGCCTCACTAATTTTTTTTTTCTGTAGAGATGGGGGCCTCTTCACTTTGTTGCCCATGCCGGTCTCGAATTCCTGGGCTCAAGCCATCCTCCTACCTCTGTCCCCCAAAGTGCTGGGATTATAGGCAGGAGCCACCACACCCAGCCAACATCATTATTTTCTTGACCGAAATTTTTGTGATAAGTATATACTTAATCAGGAGATATTAAAATTAAAATTAAAATTAATACAGCTTACTGTATTAACCATATGGGAGCTGACCTCCCAGAATATCTAAGCTCACTTTCTGGTTATACCTTTCTTTTCTTTTTTTTTTTTTTTAATTCTCTTTTTGAAATAGAGTTTTGCTCTTGTCGCCCACGCTGGAGTGCAGTGGCACAATCTTGGCTCACTGCAACCTCTGCCTCCTGGGTTCAAACAATTCTCCCACCTCAGCCTCCTGAGTAGTTGGGACTGTAGGCGCTGGCCACCACACCTGGCTAATTTGTGTATTTTTAGCAGAGACAGGGTTTCACCATGTTGGCCAGGCTGGTCTCAAACTCCTGACCTTACATAATCCACCCGCCTTGGTCTCCCAAAGTACTGGGATTATAGGCGTGAGCCACTGTGCCCAGCCTCTGGCTGTACACGTCTAATGATAAGTAAACTTAAGGAAAAGCATCTCCAAAAGAGTTCTCGGTCTTAAGAAACTTTCACTCCTCACAGAAGAGTTTACTCAAATTGAATTCAAACTTTTATTACTTTTCTCACTTAAATTATTCTTAATCTTAAAATTCAAGGAATTTGCCAGGTGTGGTGGTTCATGCCTGTAATCCCAGCACTTTGGGAGGCTGAGGCAGGAGGATTGCTTGAGACCAGAAGTTCAACACCAGCCTGGGCAACATAATGAGACCACGTCTCTACAAAAAAACTTAAAAATTAGTTGGGCATAGTGGCGCATGCCTATAGTACCAGCTACACAGGAGGCTGGGGCAGAAGGATTGCTTGGGTCTGAGAGGTCGAGGTCGCAGTGAGCCACGATCATAGCACTGCACTCCAAACTGGTGACAGAGTGAGACTCTGCCAATAACAATAATAATAAAAATAATAAAATAATAATAATAATAAAAAAATTAAAATTCCAGGAATTCAATTTTGAAAGACTTGCTTCTTTTTGAGAGGGTAAGTAGAGCGGGTAACATAATCTGCCATACAGCTATATTTCCATTATTTTAAGCAGAAAACAAAAAAAAAGCTTAAAAATGGTTTTAAGAATCTCCATAGCTAAACAGTATTATTAAACACAAAAACAACAACAAAGAATTAGACTTAAGTTTAATGTTTTACCCCATACCTTTAATTCTAGTCTAAAAAAGATCACTATTTAAAGTACAATAGAAGTCTCTCCAACCTACAAGCACATTTGCCCCATCTTCTATTAGTAATAAGAACATTTTCTGCGTAGCCAACCTTATATGTTATATTCTGGCAGTTTTCATCCACAGAAGCATTAAGGATAGGAAACTGTAGTAATCCCAAGGAAACAGCCTGTTTAACAGAAAAAGAATGCAATTTTAGCACTTTCAACTCAGAAAGGATAGGGAATTTGAAACAATAAGAGGTATAAAAGGAGGGAGAGAGAGAACTCTTATTTATGCTGAGTTTAATTTCAAGTCTACATGTACCTAGTCGCATTATTGCCAATGTTACCTTCAAGCAATGTAGAACTAGGTCACCCTAATCATTAAAGAATGAAAGATAGGTAGCTTGTAAACATCAAGGAGATTTTCAAAATAATGATGCAGACCAGCCAAAGTTCCAAAGAAAATGCCTAAATTCTAGGTGATTTCCTCACTGACATGTTGAATCTTAAGATTTCCATGAGAAGTAAACCTGTGGTTCAAAACTAGGAATCAAAACACAAAAAAGCAGGTAAGCTATTTCCCTGTGTGGAAAGAACACATAATAAGGATTTCAAAGCGCACTGACCATTAGATGCCAATTTGCTACTTGGTGTCCTTGGCCAGCTGAAGGGCAGAGATGGCCTGAACATTTACTTTACAGCTCAAGTCTCATTGAATAGCACTTACATTTTCCCTCTCTGCCACCTTCTCCCTTTCTTTTTCCTTTTGTCACTTACTACCATTTCTCTCCTGTCCATATTCAGATTTCCCTAACTGTATCCAAATGTTCTTGATATCTGTTCCCCTGCCCATTCGGGATCTAATAATCAAGTTTCATATCTTACATGTGGTGGTCATGCATTGTATTAAATTTAAAAGATAGCAAAATAAAAATGCTTAAGATCATTCTTAAAAAGAATTCCCTTCCCCACTGCCCTTTTCTGGTCCCTGTTAAAGTTCTTTACATGCATTGTGTTATTTTTCTCAGTGCATCAGGGGTCTTGATGGAAAAAAATCAAATTCTTGAACTAGAGAGTTAAGAAAAAAGTTTAAACATATAGAGACATTTCATAGTCATTAGTTTAATTAGGACAGGTTAAGAGAATAGATCAACTGAAGAAAAATACAACGAAAAGAATTGCTACGAGTTCCTTAATTTTTATGACTTGGAAGTTTTTTTCTTGTTTGTTTTTGAGACAGGGTCTTGCTTTGTCACCCAGGCTGGAGTGCAGTGGCATGATCTCAGCTCACTGTAGCCTCAACCTCCTTTTTTTGAGTGATCCTCCTGCCTCAGCCTCCTGAGTAGCTGGGACTACAGGTGTGTGCCACCATGCCCAGGTAACTTTTGTATGTTTTGTAGAGATGGGGTTTCACCATTCTGCCCAAGCTGTTCTTGAACTCCTGAGCTCAAGCAATCTGCCTGCCTTGAGAGAACCCTTTCTTAGGAAAAAAAAAAAAAAAAAGGGAGATAAAGGAGAACAGATTCTGTCTCATGAGGCTCAGTGCCCAGTGAGTAAGTGAAGAGAAAACTGAGTAAGCACTCACAATGCCCTGAGATAAGTAACAGTGGGAAACAAGAGTATTTAATTCAAATAGTGACAGCCACAGAAGGAGTCTGTACCTGACCACAATTTGGGATTTATTTGCAGGTGTTTGACGGAGAAGAAGGGGCACTTCGAGTGGAATTGTGTATTCTAGCAATTATGGGTAGCTTCATATGAGGGAGTGAGATAAGAACGGAGAGGCAGGCAGCAGAGACTTAAAACACATTTGTATGCCACACTAAGGAGTATGGAAATTATTCTAAAGGCAATGAAAGGGAACCACTGAAAAGAATCAGAGAATATTACAATAATTTGATTTACAGAAGACCAGTCTTGGTGCAGTGTAGAGAAAGGACTGAACATGCTCACATTAGAGACATCAGTATGTCCTTCAGAGTAGAACAGACCAGAATCTGAAAGAGCTTCTCCACCTGTTAGCTATAAGTCCTTAACAAGTTTCTCAACCTCTCTGAGCCCCAATTTCCTTAAATGGAAAGTGGGGACAGTAATATTTACGTGTCAGGGTTACTTGAGAATTAAGAGAAAATGTATACAGCATGCTTAGTATGGAGCCGGGCACATGGTAGCTGCTGCACAGTCACTAATGTAAGCTAGACTGTAAGCTGCTCAAGGTCAGCTGATGATCTTACTCCATTTTATACTGGTCCCAAGGCTTAGCACTAGAAATGATTCCCAGGAGCCTCAATATAAGTTTGTTGAATAAATGAAAATAAATATTAAATATATATCAGTGATATTGCAAAATTAATATCAAGTCTCATTTTAGTTCAAACCAGGACTTGGCTGGAGTGATCCTTTTAGGATTAAAGGCTTTACTTAACTGGCAGAATTGTCTCTACCTAGCTCAAAGATAAGTGGCTAAACATATGATATAGACATTTCAATTTTATAATTTCCTATTGAACAAAGAAATGGCACATTTTCTAACTATTTGATGTTGTGAAAAGTAATATTTTTATTCAAGGCCACAGTCAACACATTGCATGTTGGCAAAGCAAAATTTAAATGTCCTACTTGAGGGGCCGGATGCGGTGGCTCATGCCTGGAATTCCAGCACTTTGGGAGTCCGAGGTGGGTGTGGATCACCTGAGGTCAGGAGTTCGAGACCAGCCTGACCTACATGGTGAAACCACGTCTCTACTAAAAATACAAAATTAGCCAGGCATGGTGGCAGGTGCCTGTATTCCCAGCTACTTGGGAGGCTGAGGCAAGAGAATTATTTGAACCCGGGAGGCAGAGGTTGCAGTGAGCCGAGTTCGCGCCATTGCACTCCAGCCTGGTTGACAAGAGCAAAACTCTGTCTCAAAAAAACAAACAAACAAATAAATGTCCTACTCAAGTTTTGTTTGAAATGAATGAAATCTCACCTTTAAGAAGAAAGGCATAAAGGAGAGTTTAATTCCACGAGCAAAAGCAATGGGTTTTAATTCTTCTCGGAGCTTAACCAGTTCAGTAAGGTCAACCTCATCACAATAACCAAAATGAGGTATCTTCAGGGCTGCAGACATAGTCTTGACCATTGCTTTCTGAAAGCCTGAAAAGCATTCAATTGTTATTCATTTATTTAAATTCTTAAATCTCTTCATCCTTTTTTTTTTTTAAAGAAACTAAAATGGAAGGTTCTCTAATGTCCTTTACTCTCTCAGTTAAACCCTTTTTCTTACTACTCTCTTCATTTTTTTTTTTTAAAGGAACTAAAATGGAAGGTTCTCTAATGTCCTTTACTCTCTCAGTTAAACCCTTCTTCTTACTACTCTCTTCATTACATTACCTTACATTGAAAGTCACTAATTTCAAAGCTGGAACATTGACTGCATCATGACACTCAGTGGCAAATGCAATAACATAGCAGGTAACTGCATTAAATGCTGTGTTATATAAAAAATTCAAAAGAATGCAAGCCATGTATTTCCCTAACAGCTTTCCTGCAAAGCCACTCTTCTGGAAGTTAATCATTCCAAGAGTTTATAAATAACAAATCAGAACTAGTTATTTTGAAAGCTAACTACAAACAGTGAATGTTTAAAACATCCTGTGTGTCTTCAAACAGAGCAATTATCAGTATACAAGTTTATACTTCAAGAAACCTGCTAATGTATTCCTCTTCAGAAGTTAATGGTATACATAAACTGGAAGTGTTTCCCGGAAAAGCTGTTATTTCATCATTTAAAAATTATGGCCAGGCATGGTGAGTGGCTCATGCCTGTAATCTCTGCACTTTGGGAGTCCGAGGAGGGTGGATCACCTGAGGTCAGGAGTTTGAGACCAGCCTGGCCAACATGATGAAACCCTGTTTCTACTAAAAATACAAAAAATTAGCTGAGCATGGTGGCATGCACCTGTAATCCCAGATACTCAGGAGGCTGAGGCAGGAGAATCGCTTGAACCTGAGAGGCGGAGGCTGCAGCGAGCTGAGATCGTGCCACTGCACTCCAGTCTGGGCAACAAGAGCAAAAATCCGTATCAAAAACAAAAAAAATAAAAAAATAAGGCCGGGCGTGGTGGCTCAAGCCTGTAATCCCAGCACTTTGGGAGGCCGAAACGGGCGGATCATGAGGTCAGGAGATCGAGACCATCCTGGCTAACAAGGTGAAACCCCATCTCTACCGGGCGTGGTGGCAGGCGCCTGTAGTCCCAGCTACTCGGGAGGCTGAGGCAGGAGAATGGCGTGAACCCGGGAGCTGGAGCTTGCAGTGAGCTGAGATCGCGTCACTGCACTCCAGCCTGGGCCACAGAGCCAGACTCGGTCTAAAAAAAAAAAAAAAAACACACACACACACACAAAAAATAAACAAATTATATGCTGACTGAGGTTGAACTTTCCCTTCAGTAAGACTTAAAAACACCATATTAGTAACGTATAGTTTACTGAGGTAGTTTCCCCCAAAATAAATGAACTATTGCCTTATATTATTATTATTATCATTACCTTTTATGGGTTCTGTTTTGTCTTTGCCTGTGAATACTGGAGGTTTTGATACTGGTATAGGAATAGTCATGTCTTTTGGCTTTGGTGGAGGTGGCATAATTTCAGCTTTTGGTGAAGGAGGTAATATAGCTCCTGTCTGCTTTTCCAAATAGTTGAGGATATCTTCTTTAAGTATTCTGCCATCTTTTCCTGAGCCAACAACTTCACTCAGCTTAATCTAAAAAATGATATATTTTAATGCCAAAAATACAACTACTTAAAAATATCATTAAAGTTTCAAAATGGAATTTGATCAGTTGACGGTAAAATATATCTGTCCAATAAATTAGTAAAAAGAAATAACCTTTTCATTTTCTACTTAAGTAATCATTTATTACTTTGTATACACGGTTCACATGTGCATGTGATAACCAATGGGTATCTATATTATATATAATCTAGAGCTATTTATGAAAACTTACTTTTTAAAACAAAATTTTGTAGAGACAGGGTCTCACTCTGTTGCCCTGGCTGGTCTTGAACTTCTAGCCTCAGGCCATCCTCTCAACTCAGCCTCCCAAATGTGCTGGAATTACAGGCGTGAGCCACTTTGCCCAGCTGAAAACTTACATTTTTATACTCAAGTATTTTAAAATCTCTTGCATAATTCTTACTTGACCTTTTCTATTCTTGGGGACTACATAAGAAGAGGGAGAGCTGAGAATTTAAGAGAAACTAAATGCTCTACCAAATTTAGACCAATGTTTCTGACGTTGGCTATCAGTTAAAAATGTAACAGCTTAGATGATCATAATACAAAAGCTCTCTCAAATGTTATTTTCCTAGTAGTTGCTTTGGAAAGATCAGTACAAAACATTTAATTCTATTTAAATACAAACAAACATAAGAGCTTGGAATGATCTCCTCACATATAGTATGTATTAATTTCTTAGGAATAGGCCCCATTTCATTTGTATTAGTGCATCTCTAAGGATGTCTAAAATAATAAAGGACTTTACTAAGGCAAGCACTAAGTGTGTAACAAATGGACTATGAAAATTTAAACAAATAATTTTTAGGCAGTTACAAACAACTGTAAATGCCACTGGTTCTTAATTTTAAACAACCTCAATTCATAAATATGCAAACTGAAAGAAAAAAGATGATTTCTGATAACTAAATCCAATATTTAATTTTTAGTAATCACACAAGCATTCTACCCAAGTATCCTATCCACATCTTGAGGGAGTGTTTTAGGAAAGCGAAATCATACATTTCTTCTATATATTCCTTTCTATATTATTAAGAAAAAAATTATTAAAATGCTTTATAGATTTCAAAGCAATATGTTAAATCATTATTTCATCGGATGCCCTTAATAACCTAGTGTTCCATGTTACTATATCTATTTTCTGCTATGCCAAATGGTCTTCATAGTTAAACACATTTAAGGGTTACATAAAATTTCATCAAGGATACATAACATAATTTGACTTTGAACACGTATGCATCTTCTAATTTTTGGCTATATAAAATACAAGGAAGAATGTATCCTAGATTATTTTCTGGGAATTGTTCCCCTGTGGCAGGATAACTGGCTGAAAGAATATGAACATTTTAATGACTCTATTACATATTTCACAAAATATAAACTTTTATTTTTTTCCCACAGCAACCTTACTTTTCTCAAAAAGAGACAAAAAAAAAAACTCTCATTGTGGGGCACAGTGGAAAGTATTCAGGCTTCAGAACCAGAAAGATTTGTGTTCAAATTCCTAGTTCAGTTTACTTGGTTTTAGATAAGTTAATCAACCTTCCTGCAGGGTCCTTGTGAGGATTACAGATAATGTGTCTATAGTTTCTGGCACATATGTGCTCAAATAATGGAGGCAATGATTGTTGAGACTGTATGTAACGTCTAAGAGCACAGGTTTTGGAGTGATATAGACTCACTTTCGAATCCTAGCTCTGTTGCTGTGTTAGCTGTATGACCTTAGACTAGTTACTTAAACCCTCCAAGTCTTAAAACAGCTCCTTATCTTACGGGGTTAAATGAGAATATGTAAATACCTATCCCAGTGCCAGGGAGCCACCCTGCCTGGCATTCCACCTTCCATTCAGTCAATGACTGGCAGAGGAAATACAAAAGGCGGGCCTCCTTGCCTCAAAGCAGTAATTCTGTGGTTATCCCCTTCACCCTCAGATCAGGCCGGAGTCTTTCTTTTTTTCCTTAGGACCATGGCAAGCTTTGGGACAGGCCAGATGCTTGATACCATAACCATGTCTGGCCAGTTTCCCTTCTCTTCCCTTTCTTATCCTGCCTCCTTCGTTCCCTTTACAGGTTTTCCCTCTTTCAAATTCCTATCTCGTGCTGTGCCTCTAAAATACCTGACCTAAGACTTGGTATTTACAAGTGCTCAATAAATGGTAACTCTTACTGTTATTAGGCTCCAAGAAAGAATAATAAAATCACAGTGCTCAATTGACAGTAAGTAATAAGTTTACAACTTCTCTTTTCTCCCATGTATTTTTATGCAACTATCATTTTTCAGTAGCAAATATTTTCATGTTTCCTTAATTTCACTGAGCCATTTCATCATGGGATAGTTGGCTAATTTTTCAGAGATACAAATGTACACTTTCTATACAATCTCAGACTTAAATATTAAGAGAACTTACATTGTTTTCCATTGCCAGACGGCGAACTGCAGGAGTTGCCAGTGTTTTTCGGCCCTTTATCTCTTGGTGTGTATGTTCATCATGGGACACTGCAGGAGTTTCAACAACATCTTCTTCTGAATCTGGTAACAAGATAAAACTTAACTTCAGTTGAATTTTTTTTTTTTAAATCTTAGTGGCCTATAATATCTACATAAATTCAAGTTATCGTCTAAATATATAAAAGTTGAACTACTTCAGAACAGGAAAACACAACTATCCTAATGGTATGGGTTGAGTGGGGGCGTATGTGTGCTAGTACCTGGTACTTTTTAATTATTAGTATCTGGTGGATATGTCACTCCTGTTGAAACAATATAGCAGCTACAAGTTAAAAAAAGAGAGTTTTCCTCAAGAAATTTTAAAATGTGTTGTGGCTAGGTGCAGTGGCTCATGCCTGCAATCCCAGCAATTTGGGAGGTCAAGGCAGGCGGATCACCTGAGCCCAGGCATTCAAGACTAGCTGTGGCAACATAAGGAGACCCCATCTGTACAAAAAATTTAAAAATTAGCTAAGCTTGGTGGCACACGCCTGTGGTCCCAGCTACTTGGGAGACCAAGATGGAAGGATTGCTTGAGCCCAGGAGGTCAAGGGTGCAATGAGCTTGCATCACTGCACTCCAGCCTGGATGACAGTGAGACCCTGTCTCAAAAAAAAAACAAAAACAAAAAACAAAAAAAAACTGTATTTTGAACATTTTTCTAATAAAATTCTCATTTATATTTATAAGCAGTGTGGAATAAGGATCAAATGTAAGATAAATTACATGAAAGAATGGGCTTGGCACAGTGGCTCATGCCTGTAATCCCAATACTCTAGCAGGCCAAGGTGGGTGGATCACTTACGTGAGCCTAGGAGTTTAAGACCAGCCTGGGCAATAAAGTGAGACTCACTGTCTCTACAAGTGAATTTTAAAAATTAGCTGGGTACGATAGCACACATGTGTGGTCCCAGCTACACAGGAAGCTGAGGAAGGAGAATCACTTAAGCCCAGGAAGTCGAGCCTGCAATGAGCCATGTTGGCACCTCTACACTCTAGGTTGGGTGAAAAAGTGAGACCCAGTCTCAAAAAAATCCGCACCAGACAAGAATCATAAAATCTTTGACAATCTTAAACACTTTCCTGAGATGACATAGTATTTAAAAGTTTGCTCTGCTTTGAATAGTTTAAGAAATGCGTGGTGGCTGGGCATGGTTGCTCACACCTCTCACACGAACACTTTGGGAGGTAAAGGTGGGAGAACTGCTTGAGGCCAGGAGTTAAAGATCAGCCAGGGCAACACAGGGAGACCCTCTCTCTACAAAAAATTTAAAAATTAGCCAGGTGTGGTGGGGTGTGCCTGTAGTGTCAGCTACTCAGGAGGCTGAAGTGGGAGGATCACTTGGGCCCAAGAGGTCAAGGCTGCAATGAGTCATGATCGCACAACTGCACTCCAGCCGGGGTGACAGAGCAAGGCTGCCTCAAAAAGAAAAAGAAAAAGAAAAAAGAAAAAGAAAAAAGAACTGCTATGGCTAATGCTAATTTGGTTGTTTTATTCTCTAGTTCTGGGTTCTTGTAATTAGAAAAAGCATCTCAGGCTACTAGCATATATTTCTGCACGCAAAAGAAAAATGTTATTGAGAACATTTAATTGTCAAATTCTGCTGTTAGGAAATCAGTGATGTATATGTATAGCAGAATCAGTCTGAATTGGTAGATTAAAGACTGACAGAACTTCTGAAAATGAACAGACAACTGAATTTGCTTTGACAGTTTTGACATTCATTTCTAGGTAAATAAAAATCTTCTACTGCTACAACTGTAGTAAGACAGTCTATTCATTCCTCTTTACTAGTCTATGAATTGGCCCAGTGGAGCTACAAAGAAATTCTCCTAAAGGTGAGGAAGGGAAGAGAAAAAACCCCAAAACTTGTATTGAGCACCTATTATGTGTCAAATACTGTGCTGCATATGCAGTATCTTAATTTACTTTTCATTCCAACTGTTTAAGATAGGTGTTATTAACCCCATTTTACAGACATTTTAAAAAGTGAGGTTTGACTGAACGGATTGGCTCAAGGTCAGACACCTAATAAATCTAATTGCTGAATTCAGTCCTGGGGCTGACTCAGTCTGTGCTGTTTCCATTAGTTCATGGACCTAGTAAATTTTCTTTCTGGTCAAAGTAGCTAGAATACAACTCCTATAGTTCAAGGCATAATTTTGTTGAATTTTCAGAATCCCTGTATATTCCCTACATCTGTTAAAGTCATTGGAGAAATGAGTAAGAAAGATTAGCATGAGGAACCAAGATCCAAAGGAAAATCAGGGGATTCAATGGTAGGAACCCCAATATGGTAGGAACTCCAATGCTAACTTGGATAATGCATATTTGCTGAAGACAAGGTATAAATATCCAAATATATCATATACAAAAATTATTACATTATTTCCAAAAGACCAAGTAATTTATTGCTACTCACCTTTCTGGAAAACATTTTGTGATACATTAACTATAAAGTACTACCCTTTTAGAGTAAGTTGGGTGTAAATATGAGTGACAAACTTACTTGTGAGAAGTCACTCATGTATTACTTCTAATAGTCATGTAGTTGTTGGAAGAACGCTGTCTCTTAACCAAGTAATAAAATACCACCTTACTACACAGCACTTTAAATAATCTTCAAAGTGTTTTATTTTTTGCTTTTTTATTATTTGTTTTTAAAATACAGACAGTGTCTCACTTCATTGCCCAGGCTCGTCTTGAACTTCTGGCTTCAAGTGATCCTCCTGCCTTGTCCTCCTTCAGTGTTTTTACACATATTTTTCCTCTGATTACAAAAAGGTTATGAGTATGCAGGAAGATTTCTTAAAGTTACCAATGTAGAAACGGACTCTAAGGGGGATGAAGTTGACCAAACTTGAATTTCACAAGTCTCCCCAGTTGATATGACTTTCATGTTTCTAGCATTACAATCTAATATGTGAGATTTTAGCCTTTGATGATTGATCTTCGGTTAGGGAATTAGAGTACAGTTAAAGCTTTAACTAATTTTAAGAAACAGCAAATGAACTCTGGTAAGTAAGCACTTTTTCTTATGAAGCCTGTCAATTTAGTGTTAAGGTGATTCCTCGTAGAAAGCAAATTTATAACAAAACCACATTATTTCAGGTTAACTAAATAAAAGAATAATATGAATTGATAAAACTGTGAAACTGCAATATTCTTAGGTATTTCTAAGAACAACATTAAGTGATCCAATTAATTCACTCAGCTAGGAGAAATTCTTTTAAGGAAAATGCTTTGAAATACTAAAGTATTCAAGTGTGTTTGGAAGACCTTTCTTCATTCAATTTATATTTCAACCAAATGTTTATAAATTGAAAATTAAGGACATCCAAACTGGACATTTCATTGCATTGTCTTTTTCACTTCAAATTATTAAAACAGTGAATTCAATCAATTTAATCTACAATAGGCTGTACAAAATGAACAGTTATAGCTACCAAGAGCACCTACTATGCCTAGCATTGAACCATGCAATTTATGTTACTGAATGTAATTTAGTTAGATGATATACTACATTCTTGGAATGGTTTTATGTCAAAGAGATTTTCTTTAAAATATTTTATACTAATCCTGGTAAACATTTCAATATTATAAAATCTATGTATTTATAAACTAAACTGTGTTGCTGCAGCAGAATTTTGTAAATATGCATATGTACAGTATTAGAAAGTAAGTCCCATTGGTTTAGATGCAAAATGAAGCAGATATCCATCCTCTCTGAACTAAATTATCAGTGTAACAAAGTGGTTAGGAGCATGGGCTTTCACATTAAACAGAGCTGAGGTCAAATCCTAGCTCCACCACTTAGTAGCTATGTAATCATAGGCAGGTAATTTAACCTCTGAGTCTCAATGGTCCATGTGTCAAAAGCAGATATTACGTTTGTTAAATGAGATGTATATATAGTATTAGCACAGAGAAACCAATCAACAATATATGTTGATGTTAAGGGGTAAATGCAATATAATGGCAGAATAATGTTAGTTTTATAAAGTATTCCTCTAAAGTTCACGTCCCTCTTTCTCCTCCTTTCACTGCCCCATGGTACCTCTCAATTAGGTATAGTAACTCTCCACTTATCTGGTGGTAGAGCATCCTGGCAACTTCATCTTAACAAAGCTTCATGGCCCAGAGTACCTAAAATAGGTGCCACACAGCCTCAGCGTTAAAACCGTGCACTTGACCCAGAGGAAAGGTATTTAGACTGTTCATCAGCTCCTATTTGCCACTGTTAGCAAATACTTCTTAACAAACTTGGTTATATGTCTTCTCAGAAAGGAAGGTGAGTGATGACCTGGCACAATGACAATCTAAACAGGCTGAAAAACTAAAAATCAAATGCAGAATTGTATTGTTTATAGTACAATGGTGAATGTTCATAACGTGTCTTTGCATAATCAAAAAAGCTTACTCAATATCCTCACTTTAAGAAGTAACATATATGAAGTTTTAAAAACAAAATTAATGATTTCTCTGAAAAAAAAGTTTTTGAAAAGTTTTGGTACAAAGAGCTCTAGTTGTTTAGAAAAGTGAGGAATCATTTTACTGTATTAAATAAATAGAGGGTACAGAAAGCATCTGTCACCACATCAGCCGTAAAGACAACTCGAGGTAACACAATTTAAACTGAGTTGGTTTTAGTTTTCTTTTGGTTTTGAGACAGGGTTTCCTCTGTTTGAGTAGACAGGACTACAGGGGTGTACTACCACACCCATCTAATTTTTTTGTTTGTTTTGTGTGTGTATTTTTTTTAAGAAACTGGGTCTTGCTCTGTCCCTTGGCTGGAATGCAATGGCACAATTATAGCTCAATGCAGCCTCAAACTTCTGGGCTCAAGTGATCCTCCCACCTCAGCCTCCTGTATAGCTGGGACTACAGGTGTGCTCCACCACATTTGGCTAATTTTTAAAAATTTTTGTAGAGATGAGGTTTTGCTGTGCTGCCCAGGCTAGTCTCAAACTCCTGGCTTCAAATCATCCTCCTACTTGGGCCTCCCAAAGTGCTCGAACTACAGGCATGAGTGACTGCACAT